ATGGAATCCTTTATTCCCTCTTGACAATTCCCGGTCAAGCCTCACTCTTCTCCATGGTTTTCCTCACATTGTGCTGCTGCAATTGCCAATCGAAACCATTACTTCCATATCTATCAGCAAAACAATTCTCCAGAAAACAGACGTCTCTTTATTACTGCTAGGAACCATTGTAAAAAGGTTTTGTCTAACACCAAAACCCGCTATTTTCAGATCATGAAATCTCGTATTTCATCACAAAAATTAGGCTCTCGTGACTTCTAGAGAATCTTTAATAGTATCAATAATAAGGGCAAGTCTGTAATTCCACCTCTTTTGTATGGTTCAGACTTTGTCACCTCACCTAAAGACAAAGCTAAATTGTTTGAATCTCTTGATTCTACTAGTTGCGTTCTACCTGATATAGCCTTCAAACAATTTGATCCATTGCTTGACATTCTTATCACTCCAGCTTCTGTATCTAAAGTGATTTCCTGCTCAGACTCTTCTACAGCTTGTGGCCCAGACAACAAACCTATTATAGTCTTGCAGAAGTGTTCTCTGGAGCTGTTGTCTATTTATTTAAAACTATTCAACAAGTGCTTATCAGAGTCTTGTTTTTCAGCCTGCTGGAAAGCAGCATCTGTTATCCCTATTTTTAAAAAGTTCTGGAGAGCGATCTGATTTGTCTAACTACTGTCCCATTAGTCTTCTTCCTATCATAAGCAAGGTTTTTGAATCTTTAACAAACACTTAATCCCTCATCCTGAATCTAATAACTTTCTGATCATCAATATGGATTTCTATCTTCTTGTTATATGGCTGATTTGCTAACAGTAATAACTGATAGGTTTTATTGTGCATTAGATAAAGGCCATCGCTCTTGACATTTCTAAATGCTTTTGATATAGTTTAGCATGCTGGTTTTTTTCAATAAGCTTTTTATGGTGTATCTTGTAACATCTTTAAAATTATTGAATCCTGCCTTTCCAATTGTAGTATAAAAGTTTTCCTTGATGGACAGCACTCTTCTTCATATCCTGTTTTTTCAGGAGTTCCTCAAGGTTCAATCCTTGGCCCTATACTCTTTTTAATTTACATTAACAATCTTCTAGATATTCTCACATCTAAGGTGGCTTTATTTGCTGATGGTTCTACCTTTTATTTTTGTCATAATGAGAAGCCAACACTCTCTGATTGCTTGGAGGGGATATTTGAGCTTGAAAAGGATCTTACTTCTGCTACAGCATGGGGCTCACAGTGGCTAGTGAACTTTAATTCAGATAAAACTCAATTTTTTTTTAGCCAATTGTTATCGCAATAATTTAGACTTTCTTATATTTATGAACGGTAATGTACTCGATGAGTCATCCACCCTTCATCTTCTAGGATTAACTCTTATTTCTTATCTTGCTTGGAAACTATATATCAAATCCTTTGCTAAATTAGCATCTGCTAAGGTTGCTTCTTTATAGAGCTCAACACTTTCTTACTCTGGATTCTTTTCTCTATCTCTATAAATCTCAAATCCAGCCTTGTATGGAATACTGTTGCCTTATCTGGGGCGGATCTTCTGATGATACCCTTTCTCTTTTAGATAAGGTGCAAAAATGTAGTAGGACCTGCTCTTGCAGCCAACCTTTAACCATTATCACATCGTCATAATGTTGCTTCTCTTTCTCTTTTCTACAAATACTATAATGGGCACTGCTCTAAAGAGCTAGCATCTCTTGTGCCACCTACTAAATCTCATTTTCGTGTTACTTGTCATTTTAATTAAGTCTCATTCTTTTTCTTTGACTGTACGTATGTACTCCTAAAATTCTTATGCCTCTTGTTTTTTTCCTCAAACATCAGTTCTTTGGAATTATATATATATATATATATATATATATATATATATATATATATATATATATATATATATATATATATATATATATATATATATATATATATATATATATATATATATATATATATATATATATATATATATATATATATATATATATATATATATATATATATATATATATATATATATATATATATATATATATATATATATATATATATATATATATATATATATATATATATATATATATATATATATATATATACATATATATATATATATATATATATATATATATATATATATATATATATATATATATATATATATATATATATATATATATATAAATATATATATATATATATATATATATATATATATATATATATATATATGCAGAAATTTGCGGCAACAGTAATTGTCATGCTTGGTGACTGTAGCACTAACCTTTACAAGCTAGGCCCAATATTATAAAAAAACTTTGGCATACAAATTTGCTAATTGGTCACACACGAACTGTGGACACCTGTGGGAAAAATGAAATACATTAGGATTGAGGAAAATTATTTTTCAAACAGCATATTTTGACAGTTGTCAAGACAAAAAAAAAGATTAATAGAAGATTATTTAAAAATATACTAACACGAAGACAAAAATAGGACAAACATTTCACCCAAATAATACTTGTTATAATAAATTTTCTTTTATAAACTTTTATGAACAAAGATATAGAAATCATAAAATATCAAAAATGTATCAGCAAACAAAAACTTATGAAAGATATACAACAAATGTATCAGCAAACAAAAACTTACGAAAGATATATAACAAATATATCAGCAAACAAAAACTTAAGAAAGATATATAACAAATGTATCAGCACACAAAAACTTCCGAAAGATATACAACAAATATATCAGCAAACAAAAACTTACAAAAGATGTGCAACATATGTATCAGCAAACAAAAACTTATGAAAGATATACAACAAATGTATAATAATTGTTATAACATTTTGTTTGTTAATAATTAATATATGAAAGTTTCAAAAATTTGCCCTTTTAAAAAAAATCGAATATTTCAGAAAGGAAAACAAATTAAAACTCCGTAAGAACTACGGCTATGTACTTTAAAACAATATTCTAACGTGCCAGTAATAAATATAATACATATATGAATTAATAACAAAAAAAGCTCTCAGTAAGCATTTAGTCTCAGCATATTAATCTAGTTCTTCCTCAAAGTCAAGATTTTTTGTAATGTTTTGGGCTCCAAGCTTTAAACCGTAAGTTAAAATTAGTTTTAAAATGGTTCCAGTAAAAAGACTTGCTCACTTTTAAATCTGGATTTTTTTCACAAAAAAGTTGCCACATTGTTTTTACATTTAAACTTGCATTGAGGTAATATACTTCCCTGAGTAATGTGATTCCTTAAGTGGAAATGATCTTACATAATTACTAAAAATATCATGAACATTCTTAGGAAGACAATTAGTAATACCTTTTCCTCTTTTATCTTAAGGGGTTATTCCAATTACCTTAAGGTTCCTTATTCTCCGTAATCCTTTTTCACTAATACTTAAGCCAGATTAAAGTGCACTGCAACATATCTCTATGCGTACATTGCCTACAACCACATGATAGGAGAAGCTATTTGGCTGCTTCGGGTTTTCAAGATCTTTTTGATGTAGCACTCTTCTTTTAACTTTATTGACATCTATTAATCCTTGAATATAAAAATCTTGTTTGTCTTTGCATATATATATATATATATATATATATATATATATATATATATATATATATATATATATATATATATATATATATATTTATATATTTATATATTTATATATTTATATATATACTATATAGTATATTTAAATCATTTTCAACTTACCTGCAGGGTACTTTGGTGGAACTTCATTTACCTTATGATTTATGTATGACTGTCCTATTAAACGTACTTGTTTTATTTTGTTATGTTTGTACTCACAAGAATAACTTTCTTTCCTCTTTCTAGGACTTGGAATAACGAGGTCCATTAAAATCTTATATTAACAACAAAACTATTAATACCAAATACTATTAACATATTTTGCGTATTGTGCCTAAAAAGACGAATCAGCTATAGAGCGATTTTTTTAAAAAGGGCATATTTGAAGCGAATTCGCCTTTTTAAAAAAAATCGAAAACTTTCAGGTGGCTTTATTTGAGTAAGAAGATAAAATTTAAACACATTTTTCACATTGACTGATGAAGCTATCAGAAAAACACAAAACACACAAAAAGTGAATTTCAAAAAAAATGTCAAATCAGCCCTTTTAAAAAACACTGATTCAAATGTATCAGCAAACAAAAACTTACGAAAGATATACAACAAATATATCAGCAAACAAAAACTTACGAAATATACAACAAATGTATCAGCAAACAAAAACTTTCAAAATAAAATATTGACTGCTTAATTATATTGAATTTTCATTTGCAAACTTCATTGCTAAGATTTATTGCTATAACAAAAAGTTTTTGTTTTGATAATAAAACAGATTGATGGCTATATTACAATTTTTTTGTTTTAATGAATGCTTTTCATAAAATTGGGAAATGTGACTGTTTCTTTATTATTTTTATTTTTAGTCTTGATTTTAGCTTTCCAAACATTTATAACCAACTGTTGATTGAATAATGTTTATTTTTATTAAAATATGAAACACAGTCTTTTTAAAAGCTTCAATTGTTTTATTATGTGGAATTATTATTAATTGATTATTCGATATTTTTTACACAAATGTAGTGGGTGGAGCCTAAAGTGTAGTGGGTGGAGCCTGAAATGTAGTGGGTTTACTCTGAAGAAAACAAAGTTTAGAAAAAATTTGTTCTAATAATGTTTAGACTTAATACAATTACTTTTTATTCATCTCCTTCATTGTTTCATTATTTCTTATGTGGTAGAGAATTTTCAATTCTGTTTTTTATGTTTAAATGCATAAATGCAATATATGTAGTCCTCAAAGTGATTTGACAATCTAATTGTTCTTTTATCTCTTTGAGGTTCCTATTAACATACCTAACAATTAAATAATTCCACCAATGGCCATTTTTAATAGTTTTATGATTTTAAAACAACATGCTCATACTTTTCTAAAATTTTTTTCTAGGAAGAAAATCTGGAATTATTGCATCAGCCATGTTTATTTCCAGAATATTTAGCAGGTATAATCAATAATTTTTGTATTTAACATTTTGATATCTCTAAAGAAGATAACAATCTTAAACATAACTCAAATAACTTAAAGAGAAACTTAAACTTGATATAAACTTTAACAATTATCTGAACAAAAAACTTAAATTTAACATAATATACTTTATAAACTAAAAATTTATAAATTACAAATTATAAATTTATAAGTTTATAAATTACTTTATAAATAAACTTTATAGATAATAATAACTTAAAGTTAAAAACTATTTACTTATTATTTAGCAGGTAGATTTAAACTTAAATAGTAACATTAAGAAGTTGCCTTAATCACCTTTTTGCTACTTGTTTTATTCAGCTGTAACATAACTATAATTTGTGTGTTTGTGTACTATGTTTTATAATAAGAAATGTGTTACAATATACTATGTGTTACAATGTGCAATATGTCACACTGTACTATGTGTTACACTGTACTATTTGTTAGATTGTACTATGTTTTACAATGTTTGCAGTTTTACTGTTTCTTTTTCGATTTTATAGTTAACTCTTTCTGATTCTTTAAATATTGTAAATTGTTATTTAAAATTATAAATAGGAATAAAAATAGTTGTTAATAACGTAAATTGTTAGTTTAGCTATTAATATAAATCTAATAGTTAAAATTAATAAAACAATGAAATATTAAATGAATAAAAGATATACTAAGTGACCAAATATGTTAGAAATAAAATAAAAAATTTTATCTAATTTTTTAAATTTGTGTAAAAGTTTTATTTTTTTAATCAAATGGAAAAAACTAAATAAATTTTTTTCTTCAGTTTATTATGGGGTTACGTCTGTGATAAATGTGGAAAAAAGTTATCTCTTTTATTGTCTGGAGGATGCGTTGCAATATCAACACTTATGTTTGGATTTTCATTTAACTACCCCTGGACTGTAGTAACAAGATTTTTGCAGGGTTTTTCGATGGGTAATATTTCTTAAATATTTTTAACTAAATATAAATACTTTAATATTTCATCAATGATATGAGATGGTTTTACACACATACACATATATATATATATATATATATATATATATATATATATATATATATATATATATATATATATATATATCAGGCTTGGTCGGGAAGCGGGAGCGATCGCTCTCGAATACTGACCACGGAAATTATATTTAGTTGCGTAAAACTGGCCAGGTTTTTTAGTCGTTTTGAGAACATTTAAGTTTATGTACGAAACACAGAATTTTTGTTTTACGGACATACATGGAAACATAATGAACTAGAATGTTCTCAAATTATCTTCGTGCGAAAGAATAAAAAGAATATTTGCGAAAACTAAAAACCCGCCAAATTAACAAACAAACTAATTCTATTGGTTCAAAAAATACGCTGATTAAGCGAAATAAAGTTCTAGAGTATTCTGTTAAAATGTTTTAGAAATTGTATTATTCACGATTTGTTACGTTTTGAGATTTCTAGTATTGTTTTAAGAATATATATTATTTGTTTACGAAAATAAATGTTTTAAATATATATTAATTAAATTGTTAAAATTTTAAAAGTTTATTATAAATTATAGATTTTATTAGTATATTCTTATTTTTTATTTTAAAAGAGATTGTATTCTTTATGTAAACGTAATTTTGTGTATTTGTTTTTTATCGTAATGTATCTTTTAAAGCAATTTTTATGATTTAAACAAAGACTTACAAAAATAATTGCGTTTTCAATGAAGTTATAATCGTAAAAGTTAATAAAACTAATTATGTAACAAACATAAGAAGTTTCTGGTTACTTAACACAAACAACGCATACAAAGTAACTCGCGGATGAACAAGCATCGCGCCTGAGGTCACGACAGAACACAAATATATAATAGCAAATAATTAGATATAAAGAAGAGTTTCTATATATTGGTTTACTAACTCTAATTATTTTCGCTTAAGTTGCCATTCTTAAAACTCGTTATACTTTTTTCTACTTTAAATACTAATTAAAATTAAAAACCCACTCACTAAACATCATCAGCGATATTGTGAAGCAGTTTCGCTTCCTGGTCATTACGTATTTTTAACCTTTTTAGTTGATTTCTATCTTGATAATTTAATTCCTATAGTAATTCAATGATTTAATTATTTCATTTGTTTATCTTACTAAGAAGAATCGCTTCAAATGTGTTAAACTTTTCAAACTACGCAAAACATAAAATAAGTATTAAAAAAATTAACTTTTTTATTTATAAAATAAATTAAGCTTAAGTAAAACTAAAACTGGCAAACTTAGTTAAATAAAGAATATTTGTTTCCCTTTTAAACAATCGTAAGTTGTTACTTTATATTAAAAAAAATTGCTTAATTTTATAAAAAAAATTTATAAAAAAGCGATGTTTCGTAAATATTTGTTCTAAATGTAATTTATTTAGCTTAAAGTTTTTTCGCGTTTAAAGATACTTTATTTGCCTACTTTTTTTTTTTTTGTAATTGTCTCTCATCGGTCCAATTAATCTTTGTCGCTTTTTTTTTTTGCTTTTTAAAATGTTCTCAAAACGACTAAAAAATCTGGCCAGCTTTTCGCAACTAAATATTATTTACGTGGTCAGCAATCGAGAGCGATTGCTCCCGCTTCCCAACCAAGCCTGATATATATAAATATATATATATATATATATATATATATATATATATATATATATATATATATATATATATATATATATATATATATATATATATATATATATATATATATATATATCTTTATATACAGGGGCTTTTCTAGACCATATTCGACAGTGTTAACTGTATATACATATATATATTTATATGTATATATAAATATATATATATATATATATATATATATATATATATATATATATATATATATATATATATATATATATATATACACACACACTTACTTAAGCGTGTTTTGATAAGCATTTGCTCGCTTTTTTTGCTTACCTTAAGCTATACCGTTTTTTTCGAAAAAGAAGAAGAAAAAACGAAGAATGATGAATGAAATGATTGCTTCCCCATCCCAAACCTTCAGTTGATGTAGCAGCACTCCACTGCGAGTCAGGCTATTTGTCAGTCGATGTATGTACTGAAGCCCCCAGCAGCAGGCTATTTCAGTATGACGTCAGATTGCTTACCTACGCAATACTATTTGTAAACAATGTTAAGCATTTTTAGGAATTATGGTGATTACAAAAGCTTATATGTCAGATATTTGTGATGACAGTAACCTAGCTACTGGTATGGGTGTAATATTCTCAGGCTACAATATAGGACTAGTTATTGGCCCCAGTATGGCTGGTAGGTTGTTTTATAGTTTTTGAATTTATATTTTATGTTTTTAAATTTTTAATTTATGTTATTTTATTTTATACACACATTTTTTATAATTATGTCTATTTTTAATATTGTTACTTTATTGCTATTTATCTCCACAAGGCTGTGATTTATCTCCACAAGGCTGTGATTGCCACTTCATTCAAGGAGGCTATTTTATTATTGACTGTAGAGGTTAATAAGATAGTATAATAAATAAAATATAAAATAAATATAAAATGTATTGCAGTTACAACCCTGTTTCAGCTTATTTATTCAGAAACTTGATCCTTTATAAACAAGGCCATTGCGCAGAGAAACAAGTTGGTAAATTTGTTATACAGTAATTCAGGATTAAAAATCTTAACCTCAAAAATTGTTGATTTAACAAATGTTTTATCAAAGTCTGTGCAAGCAAACAAAGTGTGTAAACTATATAATATTGTTGTGATATTTAACATAATTTGAATATTTTACATATTTTGCATAATTTTGACTTTTTTTTCTTTATTTTAAAAAATTAGTTCTTTTCTTTTGTTGAAAAATATGTAAAATATCTTAGTTACTATAATTAATATTAAATTAAAATATTAATATTAAAATTGCAGAGCTGGAGTTGCAGTCGCAAATTGCTTTTTGCACCTTCACATTTAAATTTCTCTTTTAAAAAATATTTTAAAAATATTTTAGCGCTTTTTTTTGTTTTGTGTTTACCATTCTTTAAAGTATAGAGTGTTTTTGTTTATTTTATATAAAGTACATAAGTTACATTTCGAGGTCATATAGTATGTCGCTAAAATTATCTTTTTTTTTTTTTTTTTTTTTTAATTCACCTCCTCAAGGCTAAGAAGGCCACTACAGACGAGGAGGCTACTTATTTGTGGCTATAACCCTCTCTCAACTCTATAACTCCGAAACAGGAACCTTGACGAACAAGGCCGCTGCGCGGAGAAACAAGTTGAGCGCGGTACTACCAGGGACGTGGTGGGGATCAAAATCGGAACCACTCTTTTATGAAGCGAGCGCTCTACCACTACACCACTACCGCATATTAAATTGAAGAAATACTGCATTTTAAATTGAAGTATGATATTTTGCTCTCTTGTGCAGAGATTTTCATTCAACAAAAGGGTTTTGAATTTAAAATTACTTTAAATCTCTGCATATAATATCTAAGTTAGTTAAAAAACGCATTTTTTTTTTATTAAAAGTGATATCAAGAAATGTGAAATCAAGATTAAACATTTTCTATAAATATGCAACTTGTTTTTTAAAAGGAAATTTGAACAAGAAATTTTTAGTCTTATTTAGATTTTTTTGAATATGAAATTTAAAATTTTAATTTAAAAGAATTTTAATGCTCGCAATAATAATTATAAATTTAATAACAGCAACCTTTGTAATACCAGTGGCAAATTTTTTCTCTCACTTTTAATGCTAAACAATTTGGGCAAAGAAATTGAATAAATTAAAAATTTAAACACTAATTTAAAAACCATTTGAATGAAAAATTTAGTTATATATTTGTAGTACATTAGATCAAGAAGCTATAAGTTAAAAAAAGCGTGGTATCTAATATTTTTTTGCTTTGACTCGTTTAGTCGGGTATAAGATGTTTTTGCACAAAAATTGAGGTTTTAAGTTTCATGACAATAATATTTTATTTTAAGCAATTTTATTTGTTATTTTTATGTTTTAATTTTACAATATTATTTATTAATTAGAACAATATTATTTACTTCGTTTTATTTTAAGCCTGTTTTAGAAAACCACCACCGCCATCCACTCCCAGCTTTACAATGTATTTATCAGAGAGGTTTCCAGTTTCAAGGACTTGCTAACAAAGAACTTTCAAGTTGTTGCATTAAATAAACAACCTGACAACCTGTGCCCTTCTCAACTGCAACTTTGTCATTTTACCAAATCTTCGTAAATTGACTTGAAAGTCATTTTACCAAGATTTGGTAAAATGACTTTCAAGTTTTTAGCTTAACTGACCAAACTTAGAAAGAAAGTTTTCTCAACAATCCGACTTGGAACAACTTTATATAGTGTTGACACAGCTTTTTTGTACCAGAATTGGACAGCCCTGTGTTGTGTTGTGCATAAACAAGATCTTTTGCTCTCAGTTCTGGTGCTTTATTAAAAAGTCTACTTGCTCTTGAAGATGAATCCTTTTATATTTTAAATTTTTATTCATTTCATGGACTTAAAATATGAATCTAAAACTTTAAATATCTAATACAGTGTTACTTGGAAAAACTGGAATAGAGTTGCCTTTTATTCGCTCAGGTCTACTAAGATGAACTCTTCCATGGGTTGCAGCTTCTTTGTTGGCAATGGCTGATGCTGCAACTCTTTCAGGTGCCACAGAGGTCTTTGACTCAACTTCTGCTAAATTCTTTTGCAAGGTACACTTTGAGCAGTTGTGTGGGAGACCTTTACAGGCAAATAAAAAGCATTGAGAATATCTTCTTTCAACTGAGTTCTGGTTTGCTTCAGGTTTCTGGTTTGCCAAGACTGGATGTGGCGGTTTATGCTTTGTTTTTCCAACTGAGCAAATCAAACAATCACTTATAACAGGATGGACTTTGATAGTGGATAAGTCAAACTGCTGTGGTTGGGTTTTCAAGCATTCCATTTAAAATTTGTTGCACTTTTTCTGTACATGGTACATGAAGGTACATGAAGCTGGTTAAAAAGAGACTAGCCTTGCTAAGACACAAGAAGCAAACAGTCTTCCTGTTGTCCTCCTTGTTTTTTGCAACTAATGCTCAAGCTATTCCAGAATTTTATCATAAGACTTGATAAAAAAGCAATTTTGGATTAAAAAAAAAAATCAATATAAATTCAGTTATTTTAGTTATAAATAATTTTAATAAAGTTTTTTTTAATGCAAGTGCTTAATATAAAACTTTTAAAAACTTATAAACATAGTTATCATATTGCTAAAAGGTGTTAAAACTTTATTGTGTTTCACCAGCTAGAATGTGTCTCTGTGATACAGTCATGCACTTTGCAAACTTAGCTCATTTTAAGTAGTTTGGGTCCTAAAGGCTCCCAGAAGGTTTTCAAAGTTTTGACTACCTGAAATGCATAGAAATTAAGCATAATTATAATAAAATAAATTATTTTTAAATTTCTTTTTTTTTATTATTAACTAAACATAACTAACCATACACAACAGTTATAACATAAGTAACATAAACAACATTCATAACATAGGCAGTTGTATTACAAATTATCAATCATTATTAAATTACTTGATTATTTGAACTTCTGGCCAGGTGTTCACTCCGTAAGTTGATGTTTATATGTTTGTGCTCAGTCTAAAATTTTGACATGATGTTCATCCATCCGAAAGTTCTTGTATGTATGTTTGTGCTCTGTATAAACTTTTTGCACGGTGTTCATCTCTCTAAATGATTCATAAATACACTTAAAAGTATTTTGGTGGAGAAAGAAGAGTTTACCCTGGTGATAGACAAAGTTAACATTTACCATTATCAAATTTCTATGAATATCTTTACAATATTCCTGAATATCATAGGGATAATATAGAACTGATCTAATTTCACTGATATTAGTGATCATGACTTTTTTAAATTGATTAAATTCAGGATTAAATTCAGGATTATATTCAGGAATAAATTGATTAAATTCAGCTAATATCAATCTTTGCGAGTGCTTAATTTAACTCTCAGTTTCTTTAATTTATTACATTACACCTCACATTAATTTAACTCTCGCTGCAGTTTCTTTAATTTATTACAGTACATCTTACATTAATTTAACTCTCGCTACAGTTTCTTTAATTTATTACAGTACATCCTACATTAATTTAACTCTCACTACAGTTTCTTTAGTTTATTACAGTACATCTTACATTAATGTGTAATAAGTGTTTTGCAATTATTTTTGAGGTCAATATTGTATAATGTTTGCATTTTATTATGCAAAATACTAATATATTAGTATTTAAAGTTTAACACTTTAAATAACCTAATTAAAGAATTTTATTTGTGAAAAGCATAATTAAGTTGAACAAAAAATTGTTTTTTATTCATTTTAAGAATATAATAATTTTTTTTTGAAAAGTTGTTTTAAGATAAAAATCTAAAGTCCTATGCAGGATTTCTGCCCGCCAGCGCACCACTGCCAGTTTTCCATTAGTTGTAATGTTTTTCCTAATGCATTTCCAAAATAACTTGTTCAATATTTTGAAGTACTGCTTACAGATGTTACTTCTTTTAACTCCAAGTTAGGTCAGGTTCAAAATCATCACAATCACCCTGTAAATGGTATCATGTATCCCAGTACTACCTGCATTGAAGGTTTTTCTTTTTTAGGCAAAGGTAAAGAGAAATTAATTCTCACTTAAAATTCCCCTGCCTGGGGACTCTTGAGTAAATAGTTAAGATGGTGACTTAATAAAAATACTCATCTTGGGGAGATGCTAATTGCATCCAGCTAATGCCTTGAGAGGTCCTCCTGGGTAAAGACTGGGTAAGCAATAAAAAGTGCAACTCTTCCTGGTATCTTTTAATAAAGGTACAGCTATAAAATACACTTTAATATTTCTGAGGCTAGCTGAAAGTAAGGTTTTTCAAACTCTGCGGTTGCTCTCAGAGATACTGATTCTATCAACAACTGTAAAATATCAGAGTATTAAAAGTGCCATGTTGTACATGGATGATGTCCCTGTTAGTGCTTTTAGTGTGCATTTTCAAGACCATAGAAGGAGCTCTAAGTTATTACTTTGTGTTAAGTAGCAGAACTGCATAGTTCATTGCTTAGGATGTTCTATCTATGAATAAGTTAAGTCTTTTTTATTTAACATAAAAATAAACAAAAAAAACTAATTTTTTATTAAATATTAGAAACCATAACCACCATTGACCTAATTCAATATATCTTTCACAAATATTTGTTTTCTTCAAAGTAACTTTCAATCAGACAAATCTTACCTCTTGCAAAATTCACTAGCTTGCTTGCTCTTTGCGAGAAATTCATTGTTCCTTTTTCAATATTAATGGTTATTATCCTTCAATTTGCAAAGACTTAAATAGTCACATGCTTGGCTTAGAAATTTGATACTTATGCATAAGTTCACCAATTTGTTAAGAAATCAGTTTTTAATACTCTGACCATTTTTTTATGTGTATCCATTTAGCACCTCTTTACTCTTTTACCTTACTCTTAGGCAGAGCTATTTGCAAAGAATTTTGTCTAGTTTGACTCTCATGAGTCTAATGCCCATACTCTTCCATGCCATTCCATTTAAAAAGGTTAATCCATTGTTAGACAACAAAATTACTTTGGTTTCTGTTACTAAAGTCATTTCTTGATTAAACTCTACTACGAATTATGGTCCACACAACATTTCTGTCAAAATCTTACAATATTTTTCTTCAGAACTCTCTTTAATTCTCTTAATAAGTGTCTGAATCTTGTTTTCTTACATGATGGAAAATAACATCTGCGGTTATGATTTTTAAAAACTCTGGAGAAAAAAAAACTCTAATATCTTCTCTCTATAATTAGCAAGGTCTTTGAGTCTTTGATCAACAAGTTTTTAATATCCCATCTTGATTTTAATAACTTACTCTCTAAAAATCAATATGGTTTTTAATCTTCTTTTATGGCTGAGTTAATAACAGCTGTGACTGAAACATTCTATCTTGTTTTAGACACATCCATCTAATACATTACTCCTGACATATCTAAAGCTTTTAATATAGTTTAACATGCTGGTTCTCTTATGGTCCTCTCTATAAGCTTGCTTCATATGGTGCATCTGGGTAAGTTATTGAGATTATCAAATTATTTCTTTCTAATTGCATTATTAATTTTATCCTTGAAGGCCAACACTCTTTTTTATTTCAAGTAACTTCTGGATTACATCAAGACTCTATCCATATTCCTGTATTGTTTCTTATCTACATTAATGATCTTCCTGACAATCTTAAATCTAAAGTTGGTCTATTTGCTTACAAAGTTGTTATTAGTTTTAGCCTTTCATCACATTCAAATGCCTAAACCAACCAAAAGTTTGTTTGTTATATAAAAAAATTGTAAAAAAAACAGTTTCTGAAAAGTTTTAAATATACTTTCTACAAATAAAAATAAGATGAAGTATTAAAAATAGTTTTCTGAATTGTTTATTTCCAGTTAAAAAAATATGAAATTGCAATTGTTAATGATTTTTCAGGATTTTTAGTTTTCCCTGTTGAGAAATATCCTAAAGTTTTTAGAAAAGGTAATATATTTTTTTTTATTAGTTGCTTTGTTCTACTAATTTTTTTAATTTTGCTATTAATTATGAAATATAAATTTTATTCATGCTACTAGTAAATAATATTTTGAGTTTTGAAACTTTAAAGTTCATAATCTTAATCTTTCAAAAAATTGATTTTTCATCATCAGTTTTGTGCTTAGCATAAGCTTTTTTTTTAACTGACCAAATTATATGAATTAATAAAAAAGATGAAGGAAGCAAATTCCAAAGAGCTGATGTTTAAAGACATCTAAGAATTTTTGGAGCATTTAGGAACAGTCACAGTAAAATTATGAGACTTAAATGAATGACAAGTAACACGAGAATGAATTTTAGTAGATGGCACAAGAGATGCTGGCGCTTTAGAGCTGTGTTATAGTGATTATAAAAAAGAGAAAGAGAAGCAACAATCCGACAATGAGATAATAAAACATCTGATAAATTTAAGAAAACTTTTAAATAAAATGATTTTACTTAAAAAAATTTTAGTTTGCATTAACAAGTTTTAGTTGCACACTGATATCATGCTGAAATAGACAGCTGCATGGGCTTTAGTGCATATATCTACGGACTAAAATTTCAGCTAGATTGTTGCTACGTTGACTTAGGTTTCGTGTTATTCAGCAATCATTTTTTCATTATTCTTTGTTGTTTTTTTTTGTTTTTTTTTTTTAAAAATTAAAACGTAAACTTCATTTAAAAAAAGTTATAAATAAAATTGAAGTATTGTGGAATTCTAGTGTTTTACCTAAATGATTTTAAATAAACATTTTAGAGTTCTAATTCTTTTCTTTCCAAAATCTTTTTTTATTTTTTTAACTTTTTATTAGACTTGTCTAAGCTCACTTCTTTCATTTTATCAAGTCAACTCTGTTCACTGTCTGAACATGATTAAAGTTTTTATTTTGCACCCGAATTTTCACATTTTTCACAGGTCTGGAGCATATGTTTTAATAAGCATTTGACTTGCACTTTTTTTTTTTAATTTTCTGCAAAAAATATTGAAGAACTTTTTGCTGTGTAATAATCATTCACTGAGCTAAAAGGACAAAGGCCTTGTGTTGAGACATGTCTCAACTTATTGGATAAACAAGGCATTTTAGTGAGATTCAACTTGATTGTCAAGCTCCAGTATTCCAGTATCCTGTAGGATGAGGTTGAGTCCAATGAGTTTTCTTCTGCATGAAAGACATGATTTTTTAGGCAGATTGATATATCTGAAATTATATTCTTTCCAGCAATGATTCTTTATGATATTTTCATTATCTATACTCATTCACCATACTTGCTTGGTTTAATGAGTCTATGGGGCTATCTTTTGTTTTTTTTAGAAGGCACACTAGTTGTATGAAATCATTGTGCCCTATTGTTTCATTTTTTTAAATAGGGTAGGGTGGGGTAATATGGGTATATTCAGTAAATATGCCTGGAGTAAGTTATCTATACATAATGCTAACATTACCAACAGTTTGTACACATAATTAGCTTCTTTTTTTTTGCATTAACAATGTTTGCTTTTGATTTACATGGATAGTTAAAATGTAAAACATTTTATTTCAAAAAATATATAAAAACATTACGTTTCAAACTTTTGTCTGCAGACTTATTATTACTTATTACTTATTACTAGTAATATTACTTATCCAAGAATAATGGTGTAAATTTATTAGTTGGACCATCGTGTAACAACATGTAAAATTTAATTTATAAGTTTTCTAACCCATATTGATAAATAAACATTGAGATCATATTTCAAATTGACATTAATTACTATTAACATTAAAATCATAGTTCAAATTTGTTTTCATTGAATAGCTAGGTTAAAACTTTGACTCCCATCTAAATATTTTATATTTTATTTTTGCATTCCTCATTTTATTTATTTTATTATTGTATTTTACTTTATAATTATATTTTATATTTTATATAATTAAAGTTAATTTTATAATATTTTACATAAAATAATAAGAATGAAATAAATTATCCTGCCTGAAATAAAATACCGATACAAGTCTATTGGTACATACAATCACAGCAAATTAATGACTGTTACACAGCTTGTTAAGGCAGGGGAGCCAGTATACAATATATCAAAGTCCTCTGGCCAAAATAGGCAAAATTTTAACAGCTCAAGATGTTGTTGCAAGGTTGCAAGAAAAGAGAAGAATAAAACAAAAAAGATGATTGTATCAGTAAGAAAAAGAAAACTGCTAGTCATAATTAATACAGTTTGACCTTTTAAGTTCAAGAAAAGCAATAAGTGTGATACATATTTGATATATATGTATCAAATATAATACAAGAATCCGTATTACTCCACCAGTGGGGTAAAATGGATATATGAAAAGTGTTGTTAAAAAAGGATTAGCAAGTTAGTATTGAAAATATATTTATGTTCTACTTATTGTAAAGTTATTGTATACTCCCTGAATGTAAAGAAAAATTACTAAAGTTTTTATAGTAGTTATTAACTAAAAAAAAATTATATTAAAAAAAAATATATCTAAAATTCTATCAATATTACACCACCCTATTTTTTTTCTCTCTATTCTCTATTAAAAAACAAACAATTTAAAAAATGATGTGGCAGGAATGGATCAAATTTCTCTTGGTTTGTTAGATTAACTTTTTTTAAATTGTGGTGTAGATAGTATAAGATATTGAACAGTCTTAGTAATAAGTGGTATCATAACAATAGTCTGCAATGTATAGTACCTATATGCTAAAATTATCTAAGTATAAGGTATTTAAATTTGGGTAATTTTATTATTTGCTTTTTTATTAAGAAATTTGAAGAAAAAGGAAATACATTTTTTTTCAAAAATCTATATTCTATTATTTCAATTTTAACAGATTTGAGCTGAGAAAAGTAACAGCTGTCAGACATATGTAAAAAAATTGAGTACAAAAGTAAAATTTTGATCACATTCAGGCCCCACTGATTGTTGGCAGCATTAGCAGATATGTGTTATGATTATTAAAAAATATTTGAAGAGACAATTTTAATGAATAATGTAATTAACTGTAATTTAGCCAAGATCTTTTAAGGTATTGTAAGTTTTTTTGACTGTACTTGTAATAGTTCACAGTATTTGCCATATTATTTGTATTTCTTCAATTTCAGAATTTTCAAACATATAATTTCTACCAAAACTAGAGAAAGGATAAATTTATAAATATGTTTATGTTGGGAATAAAGGAGTTTTTATCTCATTGAGGCCAGTTAAAATATGTTGATGGATCTTTTGGGTGGAGGAACTTAATATTAGCATTAACTACTTATCATCATAGATTACCGCTATGTAACCTCCTGAAGTCATACATCGACGGTAGCATCTGGTTTGAATATATCATTTTAAGATTGTGGATTATTATGTACTTGATCTTTTTATTCTAACACTTTTATTCTCTATAAACTGATGAAAGGTAAGAGTAAAAGGTGGAGTTTTTTGGTGTTTTTCATATTGCAATTGTAATTCTTTTATGTGAATGAAGTTTATACACTTGATTTTTCCAATACAATATTAGTTTATGACTTCTGATGTGAAAACTTATTTTGGGTATGGTTGTTTCATATTTTCTTGTGCTGTCAACCTTTTTATGATCTTATCACATGGTGATTTTTTGTGGGGCAGGGCAACAAATTTCCATTTAACTTTAATGTCAAATTCACTCACTAGTGAGTATAGATTGTAAAAGCTTTTACAATTTTTTCACTGCCCTGCACAACTATAAGTCAATAAGTTTAATTTAGACAGATTAGGAAATTGTGTTTTTAATATCGTTACATATACTGTGTATAATTTTCTGCAAATTGCCTGTCTAAATGAAGCAAAGTTATAATACAGGGTGTCTACCAATTGAGGGAAATCATGGAAAACAGAAAAAATCAGGGAATTCAGATATCTACACAAAAGTCAGGGGATTATCAGGGAAATTAGGTTAAATTTTAGAAAAATCAGGGAGAAATTAGGGGAAATGGCTGTTCATCAAACTTACATAACATAAATAAGTTGTATATAGTACACGGAAAACAGGTAGAAAATAAGGGAAATATCTGGGAAAATTCAGGGAAATCCACCTTAAAATATTGGTAGACACCCTGTAATAGCTTTTTTTTTAATTTCTGGATTGTTTTCTTTGTATAATAGATATTGTTTCTTTGAATCACACATAAGGAGTTTTTTTTTGTTCTATCTATTGTTTACATCTTTTTTTACAGACATAGTCATATAATCATTTAGTCAAATTTTTAATATAGTGGATTATTGTGTAGTTAGCATCTGTATTAGATCTTTTTACCCAAACTCATAAAACTCATTGAAGTCATAAAATGTTTTAACAAAATCATCTTTATGTAAAACTTTAGTTTGCTTTATACAATGGAAAAATAGCTAAAAATTATTTTTTTGTTAAAAATTCATCTAGCCATTTTTGCCTGGTATTCTGTAACTTCAAAGTTTTCTTTACTTATGATATCAACCAACTTGGTGGCGCAAGTGTAAGAAGTTGAACAATAGTGTTTTTTTTGTAACAGAATTTCTTATTAATCAAGCTTATAATTTCATCAAAGTTTTGAGCCTTATTTATGCTATTTGTTTTATAACACATTTTTTTGATGATTTTGAATGAGGTTTTAGTAAAGATGTAAAATTTTGAAGCTTTTTTGATCAAGAAAATTTTTTAAATTTTATTTTTAAAAACAAACAAATAAAAATGCATTATATAAAAAAGAATTATCAAATATGAATAAAGTTAATTAACCATAAACAGATGTTACTAATGTAATTTCATCGCAAAACATATCTATGATGTTAATATTTAAAAAAAAGTCATATAAATCAATTTTTTATTTTTAATCAGGATTCTGTTAGCATTTTGTTAGGATTCTGTTAGTTTTTTTAAAAAAAGGATGTGTATCTAATTATGTAAAACTTTCATATAACATTATAATCTTTTTTCTTAAGAGTCTATAAACCTAATATTATACATAATGAAAATATAGTTAAGTAAGTTTTTTAATATTATACATAATGAAAATATAGTTAAGTAAGTTTTTTAATATTATACATAATCAAAATAGTAAGTTTAGTAAGTTTTTTAATATTATACATAATCAAAATAGTAAATTTAGTAAGTTTTTTAATATTATACATAATTTTAGTTTTTTAATAATTTCTTGAGAAGGTGATCTTTATAGTTCAAAATGTTTTTGTTGTTTTTTCCACTTTTAATGACTAGTAAGATTAAAAGCAACTAAAATAAAAAATAAAAAAAAAAAACTAAACCAGGGTGTTTTAAGATATTGTGCCCCAAAGTTAGGTTTTATAAACTAGTTGT